ACAAACTGAAGAAAAGGGAAGAACATTGATGTCAAACGAATATGCATCCTCATTCATCCTGATTTTCTTTGTGAAGTCTACGTTTTTTTTTAGTCTCAAAACTACGTATTGTTTGTCTTTCTTTTATATATTGTTTTGAGAAAAAAATTTGTACGTGATGGAGAAAAATGAATATCATTTTTGGATTCAGCGTACAGGAATTACTGTAGAACATGTAAAAATTTCAAGACAATAAAAGCATCGCAGGCCTTTGTTATTAATTTTGTTTTATTTGAAGGTGTATAATGAAGTTTCCGCCTTCTTAAAACATCTCTTTCGTTTTAATTAATATTAAGATTATGAAAAAGTGTTTTATTTCCCTTACCATCTTTAATTGTGAGTTTGTATAGGCTAAACGCAAAAGAAAGTTTTGAATAAAATATTTTACACTGAATATGAATATTTTTTGACGAATTTTATTAGTCTTCTGCATATTCTCAATTACATACTCGGCAAGAAATTATTTAACAAATGAAGACAAGTAATTCAGTAAGTTGAGTGTATTTATACTTCAAATTATCTAGTTAACTTGTGCCATGACCTGGTGCTTAGAGCAGTCGAGATCTATGGGTGACGAGTTCGAAACCTCTCACCGGACATGCTCACCCTGTCAACCATGGGGACGTTATAATATTACGGCCAATCCCATTATTCGATGGTAAAAGAGTTGTCGGTGGGTGGTATTGACTAGCTGCTATCCCTCTAGTCTATCACTTGAAAATTAGGAACGGCTAGTTCAGAACTTCAGATAATCCGCGAGTAGCTTTGCGTGAAATTCAACAAACAACCAACCAATCAACGTGTGCGTGTGATTTTAGGTGTTTTAGTGTGCATTTGTGGACCAGTGATTTATAGGAAAAGAGAGCTTCTTTGTTCCTAACGGATATTCTATAAAGATGGATATCTCAAGGATAAAGTATTGTGCAACGTTTGGGCAACTTTTCATGTATGCAGTATATTTTAAAAATAAGTTAATGAAGAATTTGTTTTTAAACCACAATTTTTGGAGTCAGTGGGTCGTTTGTATTTTCTATTTTATCGAATTTGCTATGCAACTAATCAAGATATTTAAAGATAACCATGATGTGTGTTGCCTCTCAGTGAATTTAAACTGAGATCGTCATCGTTTGATTATCCAAATTATACGTCTATAATCCTGTATAGATTGAAATATATTACGAAAATGTCATTGCTGTTTTAAGAAAATAATGTTTACTTGTTGAAATATATGTATTTTTTAAGATTAACCACCAAGTAAATAAATATTGTACAAATTACAGATGTGTCCCTAAGCAACGAGTTTGTTTAAGCTACCGACATCACAAGTGTAAACAGTACGAGTGTGGTAAGCTTTTCTTAGCATACATTAATCAAAGTTCAAATTCTATATTTACTAGTCAGAGAAATCTCTAATGTTTTATGTCGTTTATGATTACAAAATGCATACATTTTGACATTAGTAAGTGAAAATAATGCTTAATATTTAAAAGTAATATTATATACAATATAAGATCCTATACACACACACACACACACACACACACACACACATATATATAATGAGTTTTAAGATTTAAGATATATTTAACAACGGTAAGTTGTCATTGTCATTTATTTACTGCGCAAAAATTTATGTGTGTATGTTCCACCACTAGGTGGCGTCCAATATAATATAATAATAATACACACCAAGTAGAGCATGAAATACATCAAGTATAATTTACAATGTATCCATTAAATATAATGTTATGGTTGAATCTGACAGCTTTTCGGTAGTAAGTACAGTTAAGGGCTTGAAAGATAGTTATTATTACTTAACCAGTAGAATTCTTAAGTTTATCAATATCAGAATGCATAATCAAAGCATAAATTATAGTACTTAGTAAATGTAACTGTTGGTCTTTAGGTTTTAAGAGTGAATGGTAAAATTTTAATTAAAAATCATAACTGAAATAATTGTTTTTGTTTACTTTAAAAACAACAATAACAAAAACTGATACATCTGTTTATTACAGTGACATCTCGTGGTGATTGTAACGAGCTCCCCGTCTCATTAGTGTGTGATACAGAAAACACTGAGCATAAGAATATGTGTTGGTTGTTAAAAAAGGGCAAGGTTATGGCTTATCATGGAAGGTGTTTGGTAAGTCACTAAAACGTTTATTGCTGGATTCTAACGCAACCCACAGTATTCTGTCCGTTTAATCGTTTATGTTGACGTCTTCTGCAAACAAAACATTTCGGCAGAGAGTAATTGCATTTTGTTTACTAACAATTATGTGTCTTGAATTTGGCTTTGTCATGTTGTACAAGGGCAGGTACTGTACTGAAGAAACTAACACAGAGATCGTGCTTTGTCTAATGCAACTAGGGTAGTTTTGTCGAAAACATGACAAGTGTTCAACTTATCTTGGTAATGCTGTAAAAGTGCAGTTATTGTATTAAAGAAACTAGCGTACAGATCATGGTATTTTTTAGCAACTAGGGTAGTTTTGTCGAAAACATGACAAGTGTTCAACTTATCTTGGTAATGCTGTAAAAGTGCAGTTATTGTATTAAAGAAACTAGCGTACAGATCATGCTATGTTTAAAGCAACTATGGTAGTTTTGTCAAAAATGTGACAAGGGTTTAACTTATTTTGGTGATGCTGTAAAAGTGCAGTTATTGTATTAAAGAAACTAGCGTACAGATCATGCTATGTTTAAAGCAACTATGGTAGTTTTTTCAAAAATGTGACAAGGGTTTAACTTATTTTGGTGATGCTGTAAAAGGCCAAGTACTGCACTAGAGAAACTAGTTTACCGATCACGCTTTGTCGAAAGCATTTAGGATAGTTTTGTCGAAACCATGACTTTTCGATCATTAAACAAAGTTAGATCTTCTTTAACAAAAGATCAATTAAACTGAAAAGTCATGAAACAAAGCTGGTCGTTATTCCCAAATTAATAGTTGTTTTGAGAATGAAAGGTAAGCTGTAAAGCCAGAGATATGTAAAATTTGTATGTTGACTAATGATCGATAAAATTAGGGGTCACCAAACTAAGGTTATGACTGGTCTTTGACAAGTTGTAAGGAAAATCCCCAATGATTTGAAGCCAAAAATGTCAATGTGGTATTGTGAGTGAGAAGACGTCTGATAGTCAACCTTCTGCTTCATTAAAATATTTATTTTAACTAAAATTGTAATGTATAAAATAACAATAAAGATGTTTTTAAAGGTTCCGGAAGTTTACTGAAATTTTGAGAGTGGCACACTATTATATCATTTCGGAAAAATTCTAGCTAAATTTAAAGATTTTAGTTTGAAATGTTGAAAATCTTCTATTAATTTAATATAGATTTTCACTTCATTACTATTAAAGAAAGCTGACGGTGGAATGGAGGATTTGGGAGTATAACAATATTTTTGCATAGTTTGAAGTATTTAGTATATTTTATTTGAATATCTGTTGGTGAACATAATATACGGATTTGTTCCCCCTGTCGTCACATTACATCTTTATTACATTTAACACAGACGTACGAAACCCTATAATCCGAGCGCTTTCGGAAAGTGGACTTTTCTAAAGCGCTCGAGTTATTGAGTTTCGTATCTCTATGTTCAATTTATTTATCGAACTTACATGTTTTCCTAACATCATGAATCTTTGTTATATTGATAGCGAGACACCCTAGTTCCTAATATTCTTCTAGAGACGATTATTAGCAAGTTAACCTGTTTTGCTTTGACGTTGTTGGTTTTTCGTTACATTATAGGACCATTGCAGTAGTTGGGGTTCAGTGTGTGGACACAGTGGACAGACATATCCGAGTGAATGTGCAGCTTTAGCTGATCGCTCTACGGTAGACTATACTGGTCCTTGCGTAGCCGTTGGAACATTCCTACGTGAGTCATGTTCATTATACTATATGTGCTGATTGGTATAAAATTCTGGGATCAGTATGGGAATTTATATACTAAATTTCTCATATTTTCTTTGAAAAAGTTTATTGCAGAGACTGAACCAGAACCGCGACATCTGAAAATTGTAATGTCGTCTTAACTGTTGACAAGTTTTTAATATGTTGTTGTAGAAACTGTCTATTATTACTAAAGTGTATTTATATCCACCTTTTGTTTACATCCCTTGAAATGAAGTGCGCTCGCATTTTCAGGACAGACAAAATTGAGTATTATTATAATAAACAAGCAAACAAACATAGATTTTGACTTTTAAACATAGATAAGCTTTATAATGTTTCAATGCCAGTAGCTCGTTCATAATCATCGTTTTTAACTTTAGTTTCGTTAGGGCTAAACTTTATCGTACTTAATAGTATCAATAAATAAACTTATAATGCTACTCTACGACTTAATGTTAGACCTTTTTAAAAACGTACACAAGTTACAGTGTTAATTTATCTCTTTATCTCATATAGGCCATACTTAACTTAGGCTTAACTACTGTTAGGCCTAAGACAAGTGGACTTAGATTTCGGTGTTTGACCAGAAATGTTTTGTGGGTCTCTGCTGGTTTTCGTTAAAAAACAGTATTTAGTCTTATCTGTAAAAACAAGAGGAAGATGTCTCACAAACAAGAACGTCTGACAACATTTTTTGGACTCGGTCACTTTCAAAAATGCCCCCCCCCCTTAAATAATAAAAAATGCAACAGACAAACAAAAACATTTTTATTATTAAAGTAAGTAAAAAGAACTGCTAAATGTCAGAACAAACAAAATAATTATACAAGGAGCAAAGAGCTTAGCTCCTTTGTTATAGACGCATATTTATCGATTATACAATCTTTGTTGTTCTGCAAGTTGATAGCAATGCCTTTTTCGACTGCAATGAGCATCAGGTGCCTCCAAGTTTTGTTGTGTTGTTGATGCTCTTAGGCGAGTTTTTAGAATCTTCAATTTGGAAATACATCTATCACATGAACATTGAATAACAGTAAGTGTTATGATTTATTTGTACGCCTCATACAAGTTTGCATAGGCAGAATAACACAATCTGTAACTGCACAAAAGTTTAAATGCACATGAAAAACAATTTCTACAAACAGCTTCATCACGAGCGGATGTGGTCGAGGTTCAATTTCATCCAGTACGTCATCTTTTGTCTCTGTGACATCACTTTCATGCAAGCCTCTTTTCAAGTGTTTATAGTTGGAAGCAAATTACACCAACTCTTTATACAGTGAAAAAGAATCAATTTCTGTAATTTAATTGTTTCACATATTTTTATTTGCATCACCAATTACCAAGTTCAGAACGTGGGCGTAACACTAAGTGTGGATATGACTTGGACATACTTCCTTCATTAGTGCTTGTAAGCCATTGTATGACTGCTCATATTAGCAGTCCCATCAAAAGAGTCTCCAATGCAGTGTTTAAGATCAAGTCCTACATCAGTTAAGGTTTCCTTGTAGTGAATACAAGCTTTTCCCACCAGAATCTGTTACATCAAGAAGGCGTAGAAGTCTTTCCTTGGCCTGGTCATCTGCAACATATCTTAGAACAAAGGCACACTGGTCATGAGCAGAGATATCTTGTGTACAATCCATTTGTAACGAATAAATTTCATCCTTCTTAGCTTCCATGTCCACAATATCTGTGATCATATTTCCAATTAAATTGAAAAGTTTCGTGATAGTTGTTTTGCTTAAGTATGTAACTACTTTTCCTCTACCCCATCTTTGGTGGTTCCCGCTTCTTTGCCTTGTGTGTGATATCTTTCAGGTGATCTTTCAAAGCTGGTTTATATTCTGACACCAATTTAACTGCTTCTAAGAGATTTCCACGATTTTTAAAATGGTATTCATCAAACTGCTGCTTCTAAATATTTGCTTCGATAAGGCAAAGTTTGAAATCCAATGAAGAAAATAATGTCAATAATACAACTGAAGACTGCTCGATTTGAAGCACTTGGCTCTGTCAGATTAACAGCTGATTATGCCACAATCTGTGCTCAACCGTTCTTTCTTGGAGGTGTATGAAATAAGCTTGTGTTGAGTCCTGATGTGATAGCGATTTTTTGTGTTCAAATAATCTTGTGGCGATGTGTCTCCAGTCTGAACACCCTATTATCAATTGATTACCACGATTTCTTTCAGATACAAACATAAAACAAAACGAGCAATGCAAACTCTTTTTCTCAGGAGCGCATGACATCACTACCATGAATACCTTTGCGACTGTAAACCACTTGGCTATTGTAAGGTATATCTATAGTTGGTTGATGTGGATGAAAATTCCAGAAATTTTCTTTTGTAATATTTTTAGGCCTTTAAAAAAAATCACTTGCTGAATGAGAAGACACACTTGGTTCTCGGACACGAAACTTTTACAAGTGATTCTTGTGTGATCTGTGCTTGTATTATAGTATTTTTAGTTTATTGTTCAATCAATGTACTACTACTTCTTCTGGAGCATTTGAGGATTGAATTTTAAGAATTTTTGCAGGAGAAGGTTGAATGGCCTTTTGTTAATCTGATGGGTATGGTGACTGTAGAACAGTAATATCAGTTTTTTCTTCAATCTGTGTAGTAGATATATTGAAAGTACCTGCATCTGCATCAGTATCCTTTTGTTTTGATGATTTAAAAAAAGTGCTAATTTTAGTCAAAGTTTTCAACTTTTTAATTTCTTCTTGTCTCTGTTTTGTGTATATATATTTTTTTCCAGTTTCATCCATTTGTGTTATGTTTCAAAAACAAAGCAATTTGCTGAAACAAAAGATGTTTTCATATCATATTGATCTTAGATCAGAAAAAAGTAATTACTCATGATTAAAAAGACTAGTAAAAACATCATGAACACCCCGAAAATAATAAAATTAAATTACAAGTGTTAAATGCACAATAACAGATAAGATTAAAAAATTATACTTTTAGAACAAAGAACAATATTCTAATATAATATTTTAATTAAACAAAAAAAAATAATTTTATAATTTAAATAAAAGAAAAATTTGCTAATCTTGAAGAATAGTGTTAGGTTGATTTTAATTATATAAATGTAAGAACAAATTTAAACAAGCATTTTTGTAAACACGATGCGCTACAGTGTTTAATAGGTTAATTGGCGCGCCAAACTGCCATGCCAGCCACACAATTTTTTAAAAGTAAAAGTCAATTTCCGTTTTAAACTTTTTATTAGATATATTAAAAATGTTTTAAAAAATATTGTTACATTTTGTTTTTTTAAACTGGTTTACGGGCCTCTACCCCAACGGGCCCTCAGTCTACATCCTATCTGCCCGTATGTTAAGTCCGCCCCTGCACACAAATAACAGATACTAAATGATACTGATAATTATTTTTTCCAGTGGAGCTATAGTGAACTAGGGGTTACCACAAATATTCAACACTGAATAACAACCGGTAAGGCTATGAACAAGTGAAAAAGAATGTGAAGATTAAGTGTCTAAACAAATACACTATCAGGTTGAAAACACTGTGATAGTGTGAATTATGGAATTATTGAAGATATTAAATACTTTATTTTCTCCAAAAATTGCAAGTTTAAATAATATAATAGAAATATAGTGAGTTCTACTGAATGATTATGAAAAGCGATACATATAAGTATTTTTACTCTAAACAATGATTCTATATAGCTAAACTACATGATTTAGGCGTGAGTTAGAACAGGGTGAACTGGATGAAATGATGAAAATAGGAAGAGTTTGTTTGTTAGATGGAAAAATGTTTTAACACTGAAAACAGCAGAAAGAAAAACTTAAACGAATATATAGCATGATTACCTTATTCATGTCTCTTCCCCCCTCCCCTTTTTTACAGTCCCAACGAATTTGAAGGAATACTGTAGTACCCGTATTATAATGCACGTGGACCAAATTTCTTGTAAATATACCATACCACTCAAGAAACATTCATTAGGATTCACGTGAAGATTATCCGAAGGTTTCAACATTGTAACAAATTTCACTTTTCCGTCTTTTATGTGCAACCCTTTTTTTTTCTGATCCTGTTTTCTTAAAAGTTGCTTTATAAATATCGTCTGAGGTGAGGAGACATTGTTATTTGCTGTTTTTACGATGTATTTACTTTAGATTTTAAAATTAGCGTTATTTTGAGTTATCTTTATTACACACACACACACACATATATATATATATATGATATGTAAATTATATGATTATTATATCGTGGCGCATTGTTTCGGGATGATACTGAATAATATATATCTTGCAGGAATTGAAAATACTAGAAGTTTCGGGTGTAGCGGTGTGCGTTGTCCTCCATTGCCATCACCACACTGTTCTAATGCTATACCACCAGGGGCTTGCTGTCCTGTCTGTGGTAAGTAGCAAACGTGAGATGATTCACATTTTTTTATTTAAAGGAACTTAGTGCGTCGCCCCTTACTATCAAACAACCAAGAGGTTTTGGTAATACACCCCACCCACCAATCCAATTTCACTGGTGACAGATCTGGTTGTTATTGATGACAATACTCTGGTTGATACTAAACAGTAATTATATCATCCTGGATATTACTGTTAACAACTGTGGTTGTTACCTGTAACAATATTCTGGTTGATACTTAATGGTAATTATAACATTTTGGTTATGCTAATGTTAACAACTGTGGGTGTTACTGGTAACATTATTGTGGTTGGTACTAAGTAGTAATTATATCATTTTGGTTATACTAATGTTAACAACTATGTGTGTTATTGGTTACAGTACTCTGGTTGATATTAAATGCTCTAGGTGGTAGTAATATTATACTCTAGAGTCTAGATGACACTAATTATATCATTACTGATGTTAGTAATAACAGCTTTGGATGATACTGACAGCATCTATAAGTGTTACTGATAGCAATTATGAGTGATAATGATGACAGGTCGTTGGTTAATATTGAACAGCGATTACAACACCTTAGGAATTGCTGTTAAAATTCTCGATGACAACTTGCGGTGTCACTAGTGTGGTATTCAGGTACACTTATTTCTGACATAAACGTATTAAGACCCAGAATCCACAGCTGATTCAGGAAGTGTTAAGAAAAACAGCAAATCAAAAGAAGAAGCAAACACAACTGATTAACAAGAAATACGAATTTTTAATCATATAAACATTGGACTGCTGGCGTCTTTTACAAGACTAAATAGCTCCAGAACTATATTTAATTGACTCCTTGCTGCTACAGAAGAGGAGAAAGCTTATGTATACAAGACGAAGACAAGAGCAAGAATAATATTGTACTGTTAAGTCTGGTCTAAAATTCTTAGTGCAGTATCCAACAATTCTAGATTACCTATGTCAATGATTATTCCCATTATAACCTAAGTCTCCAGCTAATACTAATATATCAAGGTCTCTGTACCACCTCTTCAATAGAGGTTTAACAAAGAAACAAGTCACTATTCCCACCCTTCCTTATATAAGGTCCTGGAATGTCCAGTTATTGCAAGATAAGTTAACTGTGCATATTTGGAATACCCACATGTAAAAACATTATGAGCGATTTGACTAGTTTTTTAACTAGTACGTTTGGTTTTATTTTTTGAAAAAGTTGGATATATTTTAATAAACCAACATTAAATAAACTAGCATTCGTTATGTATAAATCATAATTATATGATTTACAGATACTTCAGAAGCTTGTCAGAACTATTGGTCAAAACTGATTGGTTATTTGTTGGACTTGTTAGTAGCCAAACAATTTTCCTCGTTTAAGAGAAACTTTTTGTTTGGAATAAATTAACTAACTGAAATGTTAAACATTTTCCTGTTATTACTTGAGCTAACGTGCTTTATTATGTCACTTCCAGGAGCGGTTGTAACGTTTCTTTTTAGCCGACACCAGGCGGACATGATCGCCAGCGCCGTGCAAGATGTTGACCCCGTTGTTGTGCAGACCATCGCCGAGAAACTACGAGATTATGTGAAAGTAACAGAGTGTGATGTCTTCTCCTATCTTAGCCTAGAGTCTGAAGTGGTTGTCATAGTAAACCCAATTATCTCAACTCCCACCCCTCTTCAAGTTAAAGCCTGTGTGAGAGAGGCTAAAAAAATCAAGACTTTGGTAGAAATGAGCAGTCCTGCCATCTTAACTGACCTCTCTCTATCTCTTTTTCTTGCTGCATCTCTGGAAAGTCCTCTTACGGAGAGAGTTACATCTAGTGCTCCAGCACCTGCTCCTGTTATCGTTCCTGGTTTCACACTAGTCATCCTGTTTTTTTGGTCACTATTAGAAAAAAGGCTGCTGTCCTGACAGCTGCCAAACCAACACGGGTATCAATGACTTGTGATCCTCTTGGAAAGTGGAGTTTTACACTTTGTCAAAAGAAGAAGTAATCAGTGATTATTTTCTTAAGGGAGATATCGGTAAGAAAAAGAGTAAACTCGCAATAACTTCTAAGTAAATATGTCTGCATATGTGATCTGTATTTATAGGTAACTGAGAACAACCTCGAATGATTTCAATTTAAACAAGGTAGATTGATTTCGTTTACGTCCAAGTTGACAACTTGCCATCTTTTTGCACAACTTAACCGCACCAATTCGAGAACTGAGGTACACACACACATATATGTATAAGTAATTAATAATGACATTCAGATTTGTGAAACTGTTTTTAGTTGATTGGTTTCGATTTGTGTCACCAGTTACACGTGCTTAATAATAATTTTTTTTTTCTTCGTGGCTGTTTTTCTACCAATTTGATATATATTCTTACTAAGTACTCAAACATAATATCAATTAAGATTGTTATTCTAAATTAATATCTTCTTAATATTTCTCTATACCGTTGGATAAAACGAATCAAGATTTATTCTTTTGATAAACTTTCTTTTTAAGAACTGAGTCAGTTAACTGCTCTTAATATTTATTCCGGATGATTTTCTGAAGAACATATTTACTAAGGTTATTTGAGATAATGGTGTTTTTAAATATTTTTGTGACATTATTTTAAATAGTATTTCTAAAGTCAATTTAGGATTCATTTCAGATGCTAATATTAAACATATTCAAGTACATAATATCAGATCCAGATGTGGTCGAGTAGTGAACGGTCCAGCTGCCGCAAAATCACTCTCCGCATATTTGAGCTGTAGGTGCGTTATAAAGGTGACTATCAAATCCCATTAATCGTGTAGAATATGCCAAGAGTTATCGGTGAGTGCTGTTGACTAACTAGCTGCCTTTCCTCTAGTCTGTCAGATGACTAACGTAGATAGGCCTTGTGTAGCTTTGTGCAAATATCCGAAAAAAATATGTTCAAGCACTATTATTAAAACATATTCAAGTATCTAATCTTAAACTATTGTAAAACACATTGAACCTCATAATTTTAAACATTATTATCAAATATGTTCAATCGTTCATGTACATAAAAGATTCCGATACTTTTACTATACGTTGTTAAAACTATTCCAACATTTTGGAACATGTTTAAGTGTATTGTTTACGGCTACTGTGTCGACAAAAGATAATGAAGTACGTTATTTAAAACTCAATAGCTTTAATTAAAGTTTTACTTGAACGTTGAATCATCAGACTTGTTTTACTAGTCACGATGTACTGTGATTAGTTTTGTACAAAAAAAAAGTTCAGTTACATCCAGTTATCTTTAGTGAATTGACATTAATAATTAAAGAATTATCTACGAACTAGTTAACGACGAATGAGTAATATTTTTTCTTTACTCTAAAGGTCTGTAAATGCAAATTATCATTAGGAACTAGAGGAAGACGTTTTTCTTAAATATTTGAAATATTAATGTTTTGAAAACTAATACGAGTAAACGGAATTCTAACTTGCATCGTAAGTTGACAGATCGTATTGTAAACCAATATACTTCCCCGGTGGATCAGCTAAAATTCGGGTTTCGTTACCAGCGGTGAACAGAGCACAGATAGCCCATTGTGTAGCTTTGTGTTTAATAATAAATATAGAAAACAAACCAGCCGATGTAGAGTATCTGATACCTTAGGACCTATCTCGTAGTCTATCAAATCTTGTTACAAACAGAGATAAGATAGCTGCACTTTAGATCCTATCTTATAGTCTATCAAATCTTGTTACAAACAGAGATAAGATAGCTAGCACTTTAGATCCTATCTTATAGTCTATCAAATCTTGTTACAAACAGAGATAAGATAGCTGGCACTTTAGATCCTATCTCCTAGTCTACGAAACCTTCTTAAAAATTGATATAAGGTAGCCGGTACTTTAGATCCTGTCTCATAGTCTACCGAACCTACTTACAAATTGATATAAGGTAGCCAGTACTTTATATCCTATCTCATAGTCTACCGAACCTACTTACAAATTGATATAAGGTAGCCGGTACTTTAGATCCTATCTTATAGTTTACTAAATCTTGTTACAAAGTGACACAAGGTAGTTGGTACTTTAGATCCTATTTGGTAGTCTACTAAATCTTTTTACAACCTAAGATAAAGTACCTGGTACTCTATATCCTCTCTTGTAGCCTACTAAATTTATTTTTTTTAAATATGCTCTATGGTAAAACAGTACTCTGACTCTAAGAACTTTGTTTTTAATATTTGCTTGTAAACTCCATATAATAATTATTTTTTAACGTGGAGTGAAAACATTTTGCAACTGTACGTTTCTATAGAAAAGTATTTACTTGATTCAGGAATCATCATTTGAACGTTTTACAACGTTGTAACGTATAATTATGATGTATATATTTTATTTTAGAGCTGCATCAATTTTGTAAAGTTTGCATGACTCGTTTAACGCATGTGTTTTAGTGTATATTTTTATTTATTATAAAATATTAAATTTAAGATCTGAATATTTTCTTTTAAAGGTTATTCTAAAATTCAGAGAGTATTGTAGAAAACTAATTCCATTATAATATATTTTAAGTGCCCTCCCGATGGCTCAGCGTTAAGCTTCGAGGGTTATATAAACGCTATAATTCGGGAATCGATCTCTACGTCGGACACACCACAGCTAGCCGATTATGCTGTTTTGCGCTAAAAAACACCCCTAAAAATAGCGTTTTACATACCGAATTTTAATTATATTAGTTAAAACACCCCCTTCAGTCATAACTAAATATTTCAAATATTTTCTCTTTTAATTTTGTATATACATTTCATTATTATGGGTTAGTGTTTGAATAGGAAATAAAAACGTGAGCAAAAAATGTTAAAGATATGTGTTTTGGAATTTTGTTTTCTTCTCTAAGCCTATTGTACTCCTTACTTTGTTTTTTGTAGAAAAAAATCGAACTCGTATTGTATCTTACCTGTCATTGGCAGAAATAACATTTACATAGAAGTGTGTTCAACGATAGCATTAAGTTAATTCTTTAAATTAAGAAGGAAACTTTTTTCCAAAAATACAAACGTCTTGGTGCGTTATTTTTCTTTCAGTAGTTTCTCAAATGCAACATCTATTGCGTACTTTATTGTGTAGTAAAATGTGTTGTATTTGACTTTAATAACCGTGTTTTAAAACAGTAAATGCCTCGGTTATAAAAATAAATATTTTGTCATGCGAGATATCTGTCAATGGAAGTTGGCATCTTATAACACTTCATTATACTGAGAATAAAGCTCGCATGAATAAACGATGTTGGATTCGTATTGTTACCGTTAAAAAAAAATTGTGTATAAAAGTAAAGACCCAAAGAAAATTTGTCAGTGTTTTATGTATTTAAGAACTAGATATTCTCGTCGTGAAAAAACAAAAACTTGCAAATCTTGAAGTTTTAATTAGTGAATGTTGTTTATTTTGTCTCTCGTACTTTGTAAATGTTCAGTGTTAAAAGTAAAAAGATACTGAAATGTAGTGGCTTTCTAATATCACGTACACTAGTTGCTTGTTAAGTAATTATTTAGCTCTGACTTGAAAACAAGATTAATAAGTTTCTTTCATGTTTTTTTTTTTTCTCAGGGCGATAGTGTTTAATAAGATTTGTCTAACAATAAAAAACTACATTGTTGAAAAAAAAACTGCGTACCGCTGCAGAAAAGTACCAGATTATTTCCCAAAGTTCCCTAAAAAACTACATTGTTGAAAAAAACTGCGTGCCGTTGCAGAAAAGTACCAGATTATTTCCCAAAGTTCCCTAAAAACTACATTGTTGAAAAAAACTGCGTACCGCTGCAGAAAAGTACCGGATTATTTCCCAAAGTTCCCTAAAAACTACAAAAAATGTTCAGTTCTTTAAATGAGGCCCCTTAAAATAAGGAACTTTAGAAAAAAAAAGTTCCCGAAAAAGTTATACCGATACATTTTCCTTAGTTTCACAGGTTTTTATGCAGTGTATAAGAAGACTTTTTATTAGAATTAATTATTTCAACAAAACTTGTAGTTAGTTGTTTTGTTTTTGGTTTTAGTCACTAACCAAGTTTTGAAGCTAGACAAACGAGATTGTCTCAAATATGAAATGGTTTATGGTTACTATAACGTGCCTTTAAAATAACTTGTAAATATATATAGGTTATACAAAGTGTACTTAATGCCTACAGTTCTTTAGGAGATTTTTGTGGTGTACATAACTTAGTTAAAAAATATATATTTAGCATAGAAAATCGTTTAAATAAGGATATGTTTATATGTAGATATATCTATATTGTTTAAATCGCATCTTTCACAAAACAGTGAAACCGGCAGCAGCAACATGATTTTGCTTTTAAACCAAAGACATTTTATAAAGTGTTGTAAACTTGCTAACCCATTAAAACAAGTATATTAAGAATTGACATGTTTGTTCTTTTTCTCTTGGACTTCGGTGGCTCTACGGTAAGTCTGAGGACTTAGAACGTCTTTTTCTTAAGAATAAGCAAACCAAACGTTTTGATTTTATTAAATGATCATCTGTCTAATAATCAGATATATATCCTTTTTACAGTTTTGGTTTTACTTACCAGCCTCATTTATTCGCGTACAAAGTAGTTCATCTGATACTTGATCTGGTAAACATATTTTATTCATGCTCAAATGTTCAATAAATACACACCTTTTTTTTCATTTTCATTTTACAACAATAAAACTAGATTAAAAAGATAATTAAACAGAGTGAACATACATTGAATTGGATTCGATTGTCATCAATACCCCTGTTTTATTATTTCATTTTTTTTACTGATGCAGTACTCTTAAGTATTCCCAACTGTGAACGTTGCTCTTCAAAAATTAAATAACCACTTTTATTCAGTTTAATATTTTATTTTAATAACGTATTTTTTTTTCGAATCTGAAACTGTTTATCCGTGTTACTTAATTTTATAAGGGGAATTGTTTCTTAGTTACTAAAATCTAAAGTTTTCTGGTATTTGATTAGGAATATATTTTGAACTTTTATATATTAACTTCTGAAATTGCATTCGGTGGTGCTGTTTCACGTTATTTGTTCAGAGCTATTACTGATTTTAAAAAGTATTGAATATTTTTACACAAAACAAACTTACGGAAAAATGTAGTAAGGACAAAGCTTTTTTTTTATATCTACTACTACTGTATAAAGGGAAACTGAACGATAAACATTACTTTTCAAAATGCATACATTAGTACTTCAGGGCCTGTCGTCCATTGAAAGTGAAATCACCTATCACTTTCGGATGAAGCTGTCAGGAACAGTACGTTTAATTAATGGTAGAGGGAGCCTGTAGTCGTACTCTAGTTGCTGTCTGTTGTATTCCTGGTCATCCTCGTTGTTTAGGTCTAATAGCTGTAAACAAAATGTTAACATTTTATCGATGATATTTCTGGCAGACTTATCCTAAAGAACATGTTAATCATAGCGCTTGTGTGTCTCTCGAAACTCAAATGACAAAATCATTTCATCCAAACTTATTTATTTCTTCTATTTGTCATGTAAAACTTTCACAAACTACTTTGTTTCAGAATCCTTAATATATACACATAAATGCTAAGAACTTCCCTTATCAATTTAATGCGAAACAATGTGTTTTTAACTCGTCACTTAGGGCAGTGTGCAAAAATCGGGGATTCTAAAACTCACTATTCGGATTATTTCTTTGATTTGATCTTTTCTTGTTTTGTCAGATCTCGTTGGTAGGTATCGTCCTTGGGCCACCCAGCAACACATGGAGAAAACCAATAATGTCAGCAGTAAAACACCTCTTGCTTCTAAAAATACATAAA